TCGGTGATGACGGGGAAATTATTTTTTCCGCAATCGCGGCAGAATCCTAGATATTTTCTCGCTGAAAATGAAACGTCATTATCGTCATCCGCAATCGCGGTAAAATATTGAACATCTCCTGCGGTCGCGGAGACATCGTCATCGCCACCCGCGGGGAAATGTTCTCGTCGATATCCGCGATCGCGGCAAAAGCGTTGGCCTAATCTTTCAATTTCGTGAGCGTGAGTGATCCTTGCGGACATAAAAGCTTTTACTTTTAATTGAGCATTATTGTATTGAGTAGGCCTACTGAGAAAATCGGTTCGAGCTTGATTTTCTGACTTAGTGCTTGATCTCCCAAGCTTGTAGGTCAGGTTCTGCTCGGCTGGAAAATCAACATTATATTATAACAAATCAACCATTTCAAAGCAAACTGATTTTGAACCGATCTGATTTGGCCTAAGGCTTATAGGTAAGTAACATTTTTTTACCTGACTCGAAGTAAACAAATCTAAAGGGCAGCCTCCTAATAGTAAGAAATTAAATTAAATGAAAATCCTTCTTTAGCATCAATGGAAGAATATAATTATTTATTAGCTAGTGCCTAGCCACCTAGGTTAATTTGCCGATTTGATCGTTAAAAAAATTTTCAAGTTCATTTGGTTGATTCAGCATAGAGGGCCCTCTCTGGTGTGACCCGCCGGGGGCTAGGACATAGACATAGACTAAGCAACACAAGGACGACATTTGATGCAACCTGCATGACTGTTGACAATTCTTTTACTTAGGTTGGTAGAGAGTTTATATCGATCGGTCAAGTAATAGTGACAGTTTAGCAGTTGTAAGCTTCTTGTCCTAGTGCCCTTGGTGGTTTGAACAAAATTTCGTCATAAAAAACGTATGGTAATTCTCATATACTTAAATATTGTTACAATAGGGGACCCATGTGGCTGAGCCTGTCGCACAATCGCGGGCCCGTGTCCCGGTAAAATTTACCGAAAAATCCCGGTCAAGGCTCATGCGTGGGCCCCCCTAGCTCGCGGGCCCCCCCGCACCGCGGGCCTGCTATCGCCGCCACTGATGGCGATATTCATGATATTGTCATAAAAATATTGAAGCTTCTAAACAAGATCTAAGGCAAAACGGGTAAAGCAAGAGAGGTGATTCTCAAAGGAACCATAAAAATCAATTACAAGATGTTGCTAATAAACAGAGTAAAAATCCTAAAGTTGACAGAGTTTCTGTTTTCAAATACATCCAAAATAATCCTGAAGGGGATAGAGCTGGCTTTGTCAGGCATATACTGTATAAACCGGAGGTAGATAAAGCCACTGTTCAAATGTGATGGCAATAAAAAATAAAACGGTATCAGCAATCTGACACAAACTTTCTACCATTAAACCACCACCATTAAACCAGCTTGTCAACAACCTTTGTCATGGGTAAGCGATGAAATGAAAACGAGTTATTTAATCAGGCAAAGTTAGGGCCACATGGCCCTCTCTTACACTTAATCTGTTTATAAAAATCCAAACATTATACTGTACAATACCAATACTACAATCCATTTACAATATTTAATGTAAAAAGAAACAATAAACTTTTAAAACATACCACTATAAATAAACACCCACACACACGTATGCACACACACAAAACACACTCGCAAAAGCTAGCACACATGCACGCACACCAATACGCACAAATGTCAGTGAACAACCAAGCGCACGCCTAGGACATACCAACCATGGCCATACGTCCAGAAAACAGAATTTTTAGTGCTGCCACAAACCGGGAACGGCTATCAAGGGTTTTAATGGCTAGAGGGAGATCATTCCAAAGGCGACAAGCAGGAACAACAAACGCTCTGTCATAAACTGCCGTTCTATGATGAGGCATACGCAAAGTTACTGAAGCAGAACGTGAGTTCCTTACACTTTCTTCAGCTACAAATTTTAAGTAGTTTAAAAAATGTTTTGGAATTTTTTTTTTAATATTGAATAGATTATCAAAAGAATTTTTATTGATCTTAGGTCACATAGTTTTAGTAATTTAGGATCAACATAAAAAGGAGTGATACGCTCATTACGTCTCAGATCATAAACAAATCTTAAACAGTAGTTCTGAGTGCGTTGGAGAGCATCAGCGAGATTTACAGTCATGTCATTGATCACAGAGTTACAGTAAGTGAAATGAGGGAAGACAAATTATTTTACTAGGTGTAACTTTATGTGTAAAGGTAAAAAATTCTGTAACTTTTTCAGTGAGTGAATTGATGCAAACACCTTTTTACGTAAGTTTACTACTGCATCTCCCCAAGTAAGCGTTGAGTTTATAGTAAGTCCTAGATTTTTCACTTATATGTCATAGTAAAGAAAAGCTGTCCCATTTATAGTTACTGAGTTCACTGTGTCAAAGTCAATTGAGTTTCGTAAACGTGAATGACAAATTATTATTGGTCTTGTTTTTGTATGATTTAGTCTAAGTCCATGTTTATCAGTCCAAGTAATGATTTTCTCTATGTCTTCGTTGATTTTTAGAACACTCTCATAGCGATGAGAGTAACTGATATTTAATAGGTAAAATCACAAAAGTAACTAACTTACTTTTACTTACTACTGTTAACTTTTGAACAGTAATTTTAACAGGAATGAAGGGATGCACTATTTTGTTTAAAATTAAAAGGACCATAACAGAATTACAATCAGAATCGGTTTTTTTTTTCAAAAAATCCATTTTCTGTTTTTTAAATGGATTTTTATGGGAAAATAACATAAGTTACAATAACTTTAGAACCATAATTTTTTCAGCAATGGTTGCATTATGTTTTTTGGAATTATAAGGATTATCATATACAAATTTCAATCAAAACCGATTTCTTTCAAAAATACAATTTTCTCTTATTTTATGTGTGATTATTTATGGGAAAATAACATAATTTACAGTAACTTTTGAACAGTAATTTTTACGGAAATGGGAGTTTTCTACAATTTTGTTCAGAATTTAGAGGGCTACAACAAACTAAATTGTTGGTGATCACCCTGAGAGTGAAATCTTTTTATATATTGCGAGTCCCATGCCTCTCTTATTTAAGGTCTCTTAAAAGTTACACTCGCTTAGCTGTAGTCGAGAGGTGAAAGGTTGAAAGAGACATAGGACTGCTAAGGTGTGACTAAACTTGTAGTAATAAAACAAATCAATTTAGAAAAAATAAAAAGTTACAAAGGGTGACAACACCAAATAAGGACTTTGAAAAAACAAAGAGGAACAATAGTAAGAAAAAAAATACAACGTAAATTTACAAGAAAAGAAAATTAATAGAAAAATTTAAAAGATTGAGTTACTAACAAATTAAAATTATATGACTTGTTTGTTTTACATCTTTAAAAAATTCAGTAATATTTTTTTACATACTGCTAATATTGTCCCAGAAGCACACACACACTCCAATACTCCGATCTTCGTTGTCCTGTAGCCCGCCGTAATCTCCTTGATTTTTTCTTTGAGGTCCTCCAGCTCCGAGACTCCTCACCCCTCCTTCTTCTTCAATAGCCCTTCTCATTGGCTGATTACCGATAGGGTGTGTGGCTTATAGGTTAAAGTTGTTTCTCGGAAGCCAGCCCTACCGGTTATCGCCTAGCTCACGTCAGTTGGGAAAGGAATTTGACAATCGATGCTCATGCTACTGTTCAACTCTGTTCACACCAACTGGTCGACTTGTGTATTGTGAACAGAGTGTCTGCGTAGATGAGCACCGTGGGTACAGGGTTAATCCCCTCTCTTACACCCCCCTGGTTAAAACGTCAACCTACCACCGGTTGACAATAAAAATGAGAAAATAAGGAGATACTCGAAAAACATCAATCTCGATGGTTGGAATCAAACGGATATCTTGATGTACGTTCCGACTCTTCTTCCCCCCTTCCTCCGACACGACGCAATCTTGAGGATCAGCGCAGTTGCTTGTTTCGCGCCCCTTCCAGTGACGCGGCAGAATGAGCTGGTGGTGTATAGCTCATAGTCACTCACGTCTTTAGCCCCTTCGAGTCTCCTTAAGTTAATTAATTGTTTCATTAGTTTTGAACCATTAAATATTATCTGTTAGTAAAGATTTTTTGTTTGCTTTTGTTTTTATTATTATTATATATTGAGGGGTTTGAAGTTTTGTGATGAGATTTATTTTAATATTAAGTATGTGGATGAAATATGCTGAAATAATGAGTAAAATTGTTAATATTATTATCCAGACTAATAAGACGTACATAATCACTTTTCTATAATCTAAAATGTTGTTCCAATTATTCCTTAATGTATGTGTTGTGATGTTATTTAATGTTAATCCCCTTTCTTACATTACAATATAAAAAAAAAGTAATCCATCAAATTGGCAGTTTATATCCATCATCCAATGATGATTCCTAATATTTACAGCTGTATTTCAGATTTGATAAATTTATTTTACAAAATAAAGGTTTACCTGAGCTAAAAGCGGGCAAAAATATTACAGGCGACATCTACAAATTTTAGATACCAAAAATGTCTGTAAGAAACAACAACAGTGATTTTTGTATCACCTAACTCCTTGGTTTCCATTTACCTCTTGGCCGATTCAATTCTAAGATTGAACTATTATTGAGTTTAAAAGGATTTAAATGAAAACAAGAAGGTGAAACAAAACATTTATTACAAATTTTAACAACCACATAAAGGTAACAATTTATAAACAATTTTACAAATACAAGTAACACTTGAAAAAGTTAGATTAAGGCAACTACTATTTACATAATAATAAAAAATAAAAATAAACTATTTTCACTGACTCAAGTTATTTTACATTATATATTTCAGTGACATACCACGCTAAAAGCATACCCTTATCTAGATTTCATACAGCGTAGAGTTATATTAAAAAATAAACATATAATTTATGGTTATTTACAAGTTAAAAAAACAATTAAAATATTTAGCCCATAAGATTAATAAGTTTGACAGATATTAAATACAAATAAAAATGTACCCAGGTGTCAGCTTTTGGGATAGACTCGCGGCTGGCTAGTGCCCGAGCCTCACTAACAATGCAGGGGGGCGAGGGGGGCAGTGTGACTCCCCTGGAGGGGGACTGCGGTCCCTTGCACACTCCTGAGCCATCCTACTTGGACTATGACATCCTCAAGCAGCTTCGCAGAGAGTTGGACCAGGAAGTCATCGACAGTGAATTTGATGTCAAGGTACTGAAACAAAGGGAGATGTGGTTTTGTGATTTATATAAATCAAAGTACAGTAGTCTAACCTATATGTTCAAATTCAAGTTAAAACAAAAGGAATATAAGTTAAGGTGTTTTTAAGAAAAAGTATTTAATATTTGATTAATTTGTAGGAGCTCAAACAAACTATGAAATTGTAAGGGAAATGATTAAATAATATTGATAATTTTTTTTTTTTAATTCTTATTCCAAACTATAATTATTTTTCTATTCAATTTTCTACCTTGATTAATGTCATGCACTAAATTATGATATAGGTTTTTGCATTATAAAAAGGTAATTATTTGTTTGGGCTGGACAAAACATATACACTTAGTGAAAGAAAAACCTTCTTATATTTTGGGATGTTTTAATGAAATGTATGTTACACCAATCAGACAGTGAACTTTGTAACACAAACATCTCTGCAGTACTGTAAAGTTCATTATCCTATCAGACTATCTCACAATGTTGCAGAGGCGGATTGCCTTACAGGAGGCTCTCAGAACGTTCCCAGCAGACAACAAACTACAACACAATGAGGAGATGATCAAACTGCAGAAAGAGCTGAGACTACCTCCCGAGAACACAGAGTTGTGGCTCTCTCTGCCTCGGACATTCTCCCGTCAGTCTGCTAGGTTTGAGCTTCCGCTAGACCGTCGGCAACTCAACAGTGAGTCGCTCAGGGCTATGTTTACGTTTTAAAGTGTTCTGGAGAGTTGCAAAGAATACAAGTTGTTTGGGTTGAACATGATTCAATAATTGATATTAGGACCAGAGAAATGAACTACTGTAGTTTGGATTTTGATTCACAGATTGCCATGAAGTTTTATCAATGTAAGTTATCGCTGTAACAGTTTATTCACAGTTGCTACAGTTAGTTGGTTAAACTCATAACAGGAATTCAAAATAAGGAAGAGTTATTTCTTCAGGATTTCCAAAAACTGCAGCAGTCATTTTGAAGCAACTATTTATATCTCTATTCGTCAAACACAAACAAATCATCAAGTTCTAAAAATTATCTGAAATGTTATCAATAGCCTGTAGTTATTCCTGTAGCAGTTAATTCAAGGTTACTAAAGTATGTTATGTTACACTTTCCATAACAGTACAGAGATTACAAGATCAGGAAGAGCTTTTCTTCAGTCAACTAAAAACCACAATAATGATTTTGAAGAATCTTTTTTGTCTTTGTTAGAACAAAAATTTTCTGATATTGGTATCTTCCACAAACAAACCTGGACTGGGACATTCTAAGGCCCTCAGCTAAATCCAGTAAAAGGGCTACCAGGGGATTATTGTTTTAAAATTTGGTCCTTGGAAAATGAGTTTTTACACTATTTTGGAAATTTTAAAGAATAAAAATTCTGCTAGGTTTTTATACAAATATTACACTTCGGGTAAGATACAAAAGGCAAGCAGCATGAGGCTCTGAAATTGGATCTTATTTAGTTGCATGTAAAGTTGTTAATGGTAGGTACAAAATATATCTGGACGGTAAGCGGCGTCGCCAAGCTCCGCTCATGGTTTTTAAGTCCATAACGATTTTCACCAGAACGCCGCTCACCACTCAGATGAATCATGCTTCTGTTTTCTTGTAAACCATGCAGTGCTGTTGTAAACCTGCCCTTCTCTTCTCAATATGCCATCTAAATCTACTGAAAATGTAGTTAAAAGTATAAATGTGGATGGTAAATAAAAGATACAAACACTTACATTGGTTATAACACTTACATATATTTACACATATATTGTTAGCTCATAAGACGGTAAATATTCCGCAAAAAAAATCCGCTACCCTGTCTGCAGTACTACCCATTGTCACCAGTATGTTTACAAATTTCAGTCATTTTTTATAGCGATAACATTTTGTTTACATTACTTAAGAACTGCCTGATTTTCTGCATAACCTCTCTGTCACAATTTTATTTGCTTCAATTGGCATTAATTTTGTAATAAGTTATATTTACCTGAAAAAATGCAGAATTGAAAGGCCTAAATGTTGTTCAGATGGTTTTTTGTTTCCCTTAAATGTGAATAATGCAAATCATTCAGTGAAAGTTTTATTAAGGTTTCTGGAATGTAGTCATATTATTTTAAAATCACTTGACTTTTATGAAAACATATATTTAATGACCTTGCCGTACGAGTTTAGCCTAATTCAGCCTTAGAGTGTTTCCTTTGCCAATAATCATAAACTTAAGTCCGTGTTTCCTACAAAATAGTAACACTTCGGCTAACATCCTTGTTCATTGTTTGTTGGAATCTTCATATTGTAGGTGTTCTTCATTATATAGGATGAAAACGATAGTAAATGGTCTTTTAAAATCTCTATTTCTTCTACTTGGTGGCGTTCTATGACTTTCCTATGTTTCCATGGTAAAAAAATTGGTTCTTTCAATGATTGCTCAAGAAATACAGTACCCTGTCAATTAATTTTTCTTATTTGGTAAAATATATCACATTACCCAGGCCTTCTCGATTTTTTACATTGTAATATGTACAAATGTAAATTAAAGTAGTAAATATTTAATTTTAACAAAATCAGTAAATGTACCAATGCGTTTCTTTGAATTGAAAAAAATATCAGCAATTAAATTATACAGCTGATCAAAATGTAAACAATTATGTTCTTCATAAGGGTAACATGGGAACTTTCAAAGCCACAGGGGCAGAGCCCAAGGGACTTTTAAAAAAATTTAAGGCCAGTTTGCAAATCTACGCGACACACTCTTTCCAATGAGACGTCAATGGATAAAATCTGTTAAGAAATGGCAAAGGAGTTCAACCGACAAAGTTTCATGTAGCGTATTAATTAAATTAAAGATTTGACAGTTCTCAATGTGTATCATAGCTTTTTGTTGATGCTTTGTTTAAATTAGCTGTTATAATAAATTCAAACAGTTAATAGTGCTGCACTCTGTTGGTAAACCTTGTAACATTATAATGCTACTAGCAGAGTACCCGTCCTTCGTACAGGGTTGGCGTATAAGTATAAAATGCTTATTGCAGTTATACTTGGCTTTGCATTTTCAAAGGGAAAGGACACGGTTTAAGAGAATTTGGTTCGTTTAATTTATGGTATGCTATAGTATAGCACATCTCCCATAGCCATAATGTTCTACCTAAAGAATCAGTGTACCAAATTTCAGTCTTCTAGGTAAATGGGAAGTAGGAGAATTAGTGATGAGTGATGAGTGAGTAAGTGAGTGAGTGAGTCAGTCAGTGAGGGCTTTGCATTTTACAGGTATAGATGCGGATCCTTGATTAGCTCTTTGAAATTATTTTCTTTGATAAAACCTTCAGTACCTATTATTTATATATTCTTCTTTCTGATTTATAAGTGATCTGATTTCGATTGGACACTCCAATCATCATCAGACCCAATAGGTGAATGACAAGAACCTCAATGGCGTCCCTACTATAATATATACTATTGGCTACCGGAAGTACTAGCCAAGAACTTTCTATAAGTACAATAAGTACAACTGCAGTCCAAATTTACTTGTTCATTAATTAGCTTGTTTCTATTTTTAAATGTTTCCTTATAAATATACAGTTCTTCATAGCATCATCACATTTACTTTCTTAAAATTCTTTAAAAGAAATAGATTTTCTTCCATTTTCCTCAATGAGTTGCCATTTTACTGTGAAAAAGATTAATTGAACATGATCGCGTACGACATCCAACTACGATTCTTTAGATCATATGAACTGACCGCATAGAATTTACTATGTGAAGTTGTCTTTGAAGAAATCGAAGATGCCATGGACTGAAAGTACACCCAGATAAACAATAAATTAGAAAAACTTGTAGAGAAGAATAGACACAATGAAGACTTGGATAGGACGAGTACAGGACACAATTTCCAGAAGAGACCAAAGTATTAAACTATGAAATGAAGCACAATTTCACAACGAAGAAGGAAGGAAACGCATTACTAGCTTCTGAAGATGAGGCAAATATAAAATCAATCAAAGATGTAGTAGACCATTATACTGTTCGAAAGAAAGTAACATCCAACGCTTTCACCAGCAAAGGACCCATAGATCCCAGTAAAAATGAAGAACTGAGGACATGCAACAAAATAAATAAGAAACTGGAAGAGAATATGTCAATTGCTGTGAAAGCAGAAAAAAGTAACACCATCGTAATCCTTGGAAAAGAAGAATATATAAAAAATACTGAAGGTTTTATCAAAGAAAATAATTTCAAAGAGCTAATCAAGGATCCAACATAGAAATACCAAAAAGAGCGGACCGGAGAAGAGATGCACCAGAGTGATTCCCGAAGAATGTCGACAGAAGATAAACATCCCAAATTCCAAAGCGCCGGTGAGGAAAGGGATCCCGAAAATATACAAGAAGAATGTACCTATCAGACCCTTAGTTAACTTTAAATGTGCTCCTACCTACAATGTTTCGAAAATGTTATGAAGTAAGCTCAGTAAAGATTTAGAATTAGAATATATATATATATAATGTAAAGATTATGAATTTGTTGAACGTGTAAAGAACATAGATATCGAGTCAAATAGTAAAAGGATTACAAAATTTTACAGATAAACAAGGCTTTTGGAAGCCCACTTTCGGCAATTTTATCGGAAATATTTTTACAACATCACAAAAAAGAAGTAACAGAAAACGTAGCAAACAGTAATGATGCAAAGCTATATGTCAGATATGTAGACGACATTCTTGTTTTATTCAGGCAAACCCAAGGAAGAGAGCACGCACAAAAGATGCTGATATTCAACCACCAACATCAAAACCTAGTTTTCACCAATGAATTAAAATAAAAAAAAAGATCAACATCCTGGACCTCACACTAGAGAGGAAAGACGACAAATTAGACTTTGAAATCTACAGGAAAACAAAGCAAACGGACACATGGATTAGCAGCAAATCTATTTATCCAACGATACACATGACTGCAGCCTTCAGTTCCATGTTGTACCGAGCATACAAAATTTCACTTAATGAAGCAGGTAGGAGAAAGGAATTGAGTTTTAGTGAGTGAAAGTGCAGGTTAACGAATTTTAGCTGTGGTGTGAAGCTCTGTACACATGAATGAATGAATGAAAACATCTTTACTGAGCCAGCGTTATAAAAGTACAGTTCTTTGGTTTTCAATACAACTGTTGTCAAAACACTAAACTTAATTGATCAGCTTATACTAGACATATTGAAAATACATTTTAGATCAACTGGCTAATTATTACTGGCATAAAATACATCTTTCAAACCTAGAGAGGTTTACTGATATAAGGTCAATTGGAAGGGAATTGTAGGCTTGGGGCCCAAAGTAAGAAAAGGCTTTCTTCCCGAATTCTGGTCTGACCCGTGGCAAGTGTAGCAAAACTTCCTGCCGAGTGAGGCGAACGCTCACCTCAGACCTGAAAACCAGTTTCCTTCTGATATATTGGGGGAACTCCGTTAACAAAGTTTTATGAACAATGAGAACGGTTTGAAGGTCACAGCATTGTTTAGCTGTCAAGATGTTTGCTGCCCTTGACCTATACTCGCTGATATGATCAACAAACAAAATATGATCAGACAAATCTCAAAGCTCTGTTCTGAAGTCTTGTGAGAATATTTATATTTTTGTACTAATATGTAATATTTTTAATTTTCATTATTTTAAAACAAAATAAATTAAATGACCACTTAGGATAAAATACAGTACCGTATGTGAAATAATTTGTTGTTTGGTTAAGAAAAACTAATCACTCCAACCTGTTGGCAATCCTGCAAATCAGCTGTTATCATCCTTGGTCAAAGATGAGATTCATGGTAAAGTAAATAGTTCAGTTCAACCTGTTGGCAATCCTGCAAATCAGCTGTTATCATCCTTGGTCAAAGATGAGATTCATGGTAAAGTAAATAGTTCAGTTCTAGTTCATGTCTGGGCCCCAAAGCAATCACACACTCGTTGTCATGTAAGTTAAAAATTATTTAATTTTAATATTAAGTTGAAGAAATATGTACTGTATTGTATTTCAGGAATCAAGACTCTTATATGGTCAAAAATATATAATTCATATTTTTGTAAGTTATCACAAAGTGAAATATTATTGTGTAAATACAAAGTCAATTTCCTGTTATAGATTGTATAAAAAGCACATGTTTCACAAATATTGAAAATTAATTAAATACTAGTGTGCCTGTGGCTCGAATTCGAGCAATTGCTAAGTATTACAGGCGTTATTTTAAAACGAATTTCAACCAAGTCAGCAAGTTTGTAGCAAACTGTTAAATTAGTAAACTTATTGACTGTTTAGTGTTTACACATAACATATGCTCTTCTTCTTACTTGTGATTTGTGATAACAGCTGGAGTTTCATAACAATTTTTGTTTCCAATGTTAATCTTATGGAGAAATACAATACTTTAAAGGGCTCCAGGGCCTCACTCTCTCATTATTTCCCTAAAAAGAAAGTTTCCTGCACAACTTCACGTTACACTCTTTCCAATGACATCAAAAACATGACAATCGGTTCAGTAGTTTCGGAGGAGTAATTGTCACAAAAAATCTGCTTGCGTATTAAATAAGTATAGATGATTCAAGCTATGCTAATTAATGTTAATATGTTTTAATTAATAATTGTGTGATAATTTTATATAACTTCACCTTGAGAAACTGTTAAATTAAAATGTAAAGTAACAATTGTCACAGTACTATTCATGATTGTTTTGGTCAGGAAATCACATGCTGTGAAAGGTATGAATACATTATAAAATGCTCTAATATTAAAATAATGATTACTATTTACTAGTATTTTCTGGACATATTTCCAGAACGAGTTTCAAGTGTGCTGTGGCTACCAATTTGGCAACTCAAATCCGAGCCCTGGGGTACCAGTCCGGTGCTATATTTGCAAGTCTACTGACTAAAGTAAGACTGTTCTTATTTATTTTAAAAGTAATTAGTTACAAGAAGTAATGTACCTAGAAGGGAAGAATTTGATTTAATTAAATGTCATGTATATTACTATGAAGATCATTGATTGCTCACAATTTAACCAATTGTAATATTAAATTATTATTTAAATTTTTTTTATAATTATAAATACTTAAAAATTAATACATTTTTTATATGCCTATGAATATCTGAAGAAGAAAATAATATTTAATATTTAATAAGGCTAGACAAGGCAAAATTAAATAGTAAAGTACTGTTTGTCCCAAAATTGGCATATAATTGGGCAAAGTGATACAATACAAGGGGAACCAACACTACTGCTATCTTAAACACTTATAAATTACCCTATATCATCAAGTGTTTGAACAAAAAGTGCAAACTATGCAATTAATCATTTTACCATCAAATGCAATCACTTGGTTCAAGGCTTGCAGTACATTTTCTTGAATAAGGCTGTTAGCAAAAGAGGGAAGAGCATTATAAATAGATGGAAGAACTATAGCACGAACTATTTCAAGTTTGGTTGAACAAACCTAAACCTATTAAATAATCGTAATTTAGCAACAACAGTTTTACAGATGTGTCTCGCATGTTCAGAGAAATTGAGCCTAGAGTTCAATTTGACACCAAGGAATTTTAATGAATCGCTTAAAGGCAAGGGCTTATCATCTAGAAGAACTTCACAATAAGTATCCTTGTTGTGTTGGCTTTGCACAGAGTAGTTTACGATTCTTAAAACAGAACACTTGTCACGATTCAGCTGAAGACCATGATCATTAGACCATTTATCAACACTTATCAAGTCGCTATTCAAGGTGCGAGTCGTCGGCGTAAGAATGGACAGAGCAGTGACAAAGCTGTGACTCAAGGTCGGCAGTGTACACCAGGAAGAGGAAAGGACCTTAGCAACTGCCCTGGGGAACCCTGGACACTTTTGGTAAAACACTTGAAACCTGATCGTTAACTCGAGTTTATTGTGACCTATTACGGATATAGGAAGAAAACCACTGCACAGATCAACTATCAAAATGGTAAAAACTCAGTTTGGCTAACAGAAGATAGAAACTAACTGAATCGAATGCCTGTGAAAAGTCCAATCCAGCTACAATACTACCCCAATTTATTTTCTCTGTCACTAGACTGAATAAGAATTTGGTCTTCACTTGGCTACTTAGGTGTAGAACTCAATCCTGCTCCTTAAATAAAACAAGATACAAGAGAATGTACAACCCATTTTTATTCAATCATTTTAACTGAATGAAAAATATGTAAACACAAACATAAACATTCAAAAACAATAACATAAATCATGTGGTGTTAAGAAATCATATGTTGATGACAACTGCATGGTCAACTACACACCTCTACCAACTGCTGCAACCACCTAACAAGCACCAGCCTGATTTTTCCCCTTTTTATGTTAAGTTCACCCCAAAACAGAGTTAGCGACAATTAGAATTCATATTTATCAAATGTTGTGAATGATTACCAAAATTAAAACAGTGTATTTGGTTTTACCTAATCACCACGGGATTACAAAAAATATCTCAAGTTTATACAAAATAATAAATGCGTTGAATTGTTTGCTAATACTATAATTATTTACACACTTAATATTGTTACCAATTGACGACATTGAAATGGATACAATTGAAAACTACCAATCGGTGATTCTAAACCACATATGCTATAGACAAGAAAACACAATAATTTTCATGTACGAAACATATAACAATTAATAATTTAACAAATAATATAACATTTACTTACATGAACGTCCAGACACACAACACAATAACAGGTGGGACACAAATTATGGTAGGCCTTTCATTTCCCGCAAAAATCATTTGATCGATGATAGCAACAGATGAAGTGAAATTAAAAGAGCGGTTCTGTACTAGTTGGCGACGATGAAAAAGACTTTTTCCAAACTGTTTTTTTTTTTTTTTTTCAACGCGTCGCAATTATATCTCTGCGGGATATAGGCTTTTGCGATTACTGAAAATCAAATTGATACCAACTAGTACCGCGACATCGAAGAATTTGCACTGCTCCGATTAAAAGGCTTACCCTAAAACAACGACACTCAAGGAGCTACACGGGAAGACTGGGGTGATTCACTCGTTAAGAGCTTGGACGATGCGAAGGATTGTGGGTACTGTAATACGAATACGTCGTACATCTGTGGTCAGCTGATCTTTGATTTCGCGCGGCGATTTGAATTTGAGGTTTCTTACCTTAAATTCGGTACACTCCTCCTGAGTTGTTATGGCTTGTAGTTTTTGTGTTACTAAATATCAGTGAGTGAGTGGTATTTGACTTTTATAAGATAGATAGATAGGTAAACTGTTGTGGTTTGCTTGTTTATGTACATATTTTAATCAAACTTGGCAAATCTATTTATTTATTACTAAGCTATATTTTTTAAAAGTTTTACTAAAAAACACACCTGAAAGTAAATCAAAGAAACTTTTTATAACACTTGAATGTCATTCACCTACAGTGTCTGATGATGATTGGAGTCCCCAATCGAAATCGATCACCACTTACCATCTTTTATGTATATTTACCGTCTTGTGAGTAACAGTATAAGAGTAAATATATGTTTTAAGTGTTAATTTACTTTCCGTAAATTTAATAACACTTACAATGCTGATCAAGAAGTTGTATTTAAAAAACACACTCTTCTTTACCCTCCCTATAGCAGCAAACATAGGTAGGTACACCCTAATGTTATTGAAATTCATTTAATTAAAAATCAAATCAGGCAAATGGAAATTCACTTAGTCTGCAGGTTTGCTGCGGCGTGGGTATTGTTATTTTTACATAGTAGTCTAAGAAATATACAAGAGCTTTATGTCAATTTCCGTCTAACTGTCATTGAGTCAGTAATGACAAGATGTCAATTTATGTTACCTACTCCAGGAAACCTAGAGCATCGAACTAGAAAAAATTCATTTTCCTGTGTTTACTAGATTGGTGAGAATGCTGTTTCGGGAACTCATGCAAGTTTATCCCACCCTACACCTTTAAACTAAATTTCATCAAAATCCGATGTATATACATAAATAAAAATCTGAACGAATGATGATTTTGGCCTCTGGGGACATCAAAATGAAAAAGTAAATTGGTTCCTGGCCTGCTAAAAACATTAATTTATTTGTTTAGAGTTTCATTTATCAAATAGCGATCAGCTGTTTGGAGTGAAAGATTCTTTTTGCAATCAGTAATTGGAATGTTTTTTTAAATAGCCATGACACCACTGGAGTATGTCCAAAGACACATAAGTATCACAAGCCACAGACGTCTGCTCTACAGCAGAGTGTTCAACAGACACAAGAAGCAGATAGATCTAGAAGATACAGAGCAGGAAAACACTCACAGGACACTCTCTGGCAAGGTAAATATCAAATTAATTTAATTTACCCCTTGCTTTGCCGGATTCATTCCATGCACAGGCCTCTGTGGCCCATGTGGATGGGCAAAATGCAAGTTAACAGCATCTACGTGATCTTTGAAGCAAACCTCTTTGAAAAAAGCTTTATTTTTTGCAGAATATGACAGTAGCCTTGGGTGAGATGATGGGTCGACCATTCACAGAAGAAGAGGCTGTTTGGTTTCAAGAAATAGTTGGCTGGAAAGATGAGGACTGGATAGATTTCCGAACTTGGTGCGGCATATGTGCTTTGTGTGAAAGAATATTGGGTATGTGAGTAAAATATCGTTGATAATCATGAACATCCCACAGCAACAACACTTCTTTTACCATGCCATAAAAAAAGACACAGATAAAAATATGTTCAATTAATTGGAAATTACAAACTCCAAGCACCCTCTTTAAAGAGTCCTTGGAACCTAGCTGTTTCAACAAATCCAAGATGGCCGTCAGCTTTCAAGGACTCTTTTGGAAAACAATTATAAAACCAAAACAAACATTTCTAATTCCACAGTGCACTAGATATCTAAATTACAATAAGGTTGGTATTTGAAAACATATTTTTAGATGGTAAATAGCTCTTCAGCGGCTCTTAGAAATTAATCCAAAATGGCCACCAGCCTCCAAGGACTCTAAAAGAGTCGGCAGGAGTAAATAATTTTATCTCTCTTGACTACAGCGCTCCAAAGCCTGTAGTAACCCAAGAAACAGCTGCAGTACTACGTGCGGCCGTAGTGCAAAATAGTCCTCTCCCGCCATCATTCAAACAGTCTCGAACAACTGAAGCCACTTGAGGGGCCGAAGGTCCGCTAGGGATGCACGGTCATTAGCCTCAAAAATCAATACAAACAAGAATTAATCAATTTACGATTCAAACAAACTGCTAAATGAGGGATAGTGATGTATTCATACGCAGGGACAGAATTCTGCTGTTGAATTTCACAAATGCCAGGCAAAACAGTGGTTGTTCGAGCGCCGACCAGAAAAAACATGCGTTCATGTTGAAGCATATTAATCATGCACCGTAAACTTAATTACCGAGCAGAAATTTTTAAGTGATTCTTAAATATATTTTCCGTGTGAATTGTCTTTCAAATTTTTAAACTTACGTTTTAAAGGTTGAAAAAAATCATAGTTTAAGTCAATATATTTATGTACTTATACAAAATAATAAAAATTAGAATAAAAAGTAAAATGAGATATTTTGCAACTTTTTACCTTAATAAACAATGCCGTAATATGCTACAACCATTAACATTGCCGTTATGGGCAGAAAATCCATGATGACCGGCGGTCCTGCTGACTCTTTAAGTCAGCCTATAGTTATAGTATGTAATGATTGGAGGTGTTGTTACAGTAGACCCCCTCTTAACCGACCTCGTATTAACCGATAACCGGATTATCCGCCTTTGATCGTAAAATAATATAGTTCGGTTTAACCGCCGCTTTCTAGGAATCTCGGCATTTCTGCTCCCGCGCTGGGCGATGAGAACTGAACCATACGCTTGTCTCCACAGGATTGACTAAGAATAAGTTATTTTGTATTAATCACAAAAAATATAGCATATTGTCAGTTTGTCACCATCGTTTGTAGCGCGAGCACATCTGATCAGATTTGTTATCCGTGCGGCAAATTTATAACATCGTAAAGTGCATTATGATTTTGAGAACTGATTATCTTATTGCTGGAGTAAACAAAGAACGCAACTTGTAGGGAGGGCAGGGAAGGGAGGTTAACAACTCCAAGGTCAAGATAGTTTTGTGCCTCGAGCCTCCAGTGAGAGGCTATAAATAAACATCCTGTCTTGTAACAAAATGGTTGCTTATATCTCTAATTTCGACAAAAGGCTCTGTACTGTATTACGATAATAATAATAATAATAATCTTTATTGTCATTCAGCAACATAAAATTACAATAGACAACGTCAGAAGTCAGGACACAAATATGACATCATGCTTAAATCTATATCATCTTATGAAGCATTGAACATTTTGTTACATAAACTGTACATACAGGCCTAATATTTAAATTTAAAATTCTAAGATTGAATGCTTTTACACAAATTTATAAAAAACTTAAGTAAATAATACTTCAAAACTAAACAATTTGTAAATATTCAGGAAATTTGTAAAAGATTTTTGGTTATGCAGGCTGCCTCGTAGTGGCCAATAGTGTTAAGAGTTCAGAGTAATCATTTGTGTTTAAAAAATTTTCTATAGAAAAAAAGGCTTTGCTAATTAGCCATCTTGATAGTGTTGATTTGAAAAGGTTTATGTTATCAATTTCTCTAAATGGAATGGGAAGTTTATTGAAAAGTTGTAATTGTAAATATTTATGGTTTTTTGTGAATTTTGAAAGTCTAACTGGTGGGATGTACAGGTTGTTTGATTGTCTAGTTGAGTGGTTATGTATTGAGTGACATTTAGTAAAATTTTTAATGTTTTGTTTAACATAGACTAAATTATTAAAAATATAAATACTTGAAAGTGTCATTATATTATTATTTATAAAGAAAAGTTTGTAGTTGACTTTATTTGGTATATCAAACATGATCCGTAGGGCTTTTCTTTGCCAAGTGAACACCCTGCTGGCCCCACAGCTATTTCCCCAGAGAATATTTCCATATAATAAGTGCGTATGAAATAAACTATGGTAAACAGAAAGAAGTGTGTGATTTGATACACAGTTTTTTTTAGTTTTCGCAATAAAAAACAAACTCGTGACAACTTAGATATTACATTGTTGGTATGTTCTTCCCAAGTTAATTTTTTATCTAAGAAAATACCTAGCAATTTAACAAAATCTGGATTTTCAATTTGGTTTCTACGTAGTGTAAAACATATTTTCTCTGTCTTATCACCATTAATTTCAAGAAAATTACTCTTAAACCAATTATTACCAATATCGATCATGTTATCAATTCCATGGATTGCTGTGTTAAGATTGTCAGAAGGCCAAATAAACTATGTGTCGTCTGCATATAGAACTGTTTTACAAGGCATAGCATTTGGCAAATCATTAATATATAATATAAACAATACTGGCCCAAGTACTGACCCCTGTGGCATCCCAGCAAGAACCTCTTTAAAAGCTGATGTTTGTTTTCCGGAAGCTACATATTGTTGTCTGCCACAAAGGTAGGTTTAAAAAAATTTAGTTCCTGGAGTTTTATACCATAAAAATCCAATTTCCGCAAAAGTATGGTGTGCAGCACTTAGTCAAAGGCCCTGCTGAGATCCACAAGGGCCAGACTCAGATAGTTGCCAGATTCAAATGTATCCAGAATATCTGACACTATGGATTCAACAGCTTAAGTTGTGGAGTATCCGGGTCGAAAGCCAAATTGATTGCTATTCAGAATTTTATTATTTGATAAAAAATCAAAAAGCTGTATTTTAACACAATTTTCAATTATTTTTGAAAAAACTGGAACCATTGAAATGGGACGATAATTGGAAACAGAAGATATATTTCCTTTCTTGAAAATTGGCACCGTTTTGCATATTTTCAGACAACTTGGAAATGTGGAATTTAATAAGGCAATATTTACTAAGTAAGTTAAAAAGGTTATAGAATGTATGGAGAGCCCCTCACGCCGAATTAAGAAATTTTTTTTATTTTTATATAAGACTAATTTTACAATTATTAATTATAAAATTAAACTCTCATCACCTAACACAACCAACCAAACTTGCTGATAATATAAAATACCCCCGCCATTATTATATTATCAGCAAGTTTGGTTGATTGTGTTTGGTGATGACAGTTTGATTTTATAATTAAAAATTGTAAAATTAGTCTTATAATAAAAATAATATAATTTTTCTTGTCGATGTGATGGCCTCTCGCGGCTCGCTCAATGCCTGACTCCTTCACAGAAGGGGTTCACATCGACTTCTGAACAGGCGCTTTAGACACGCTAGTCTCGGCGCACAGTGTCACATTTTGATGTTGCTCCTACTCGGACAGTTGAAAACTCGGACAAATGATATTTTGATATTTTTTTTAATAACTTAAAAACTCGGACAAATGAAAACTTGGACAGTTGATTTAACGAAATATTATTATTATTTAAACCATACTCGGACAGTTGAAAACTCGGACACTTGATATTTCGATATTTTTTAAAATAATTTAATAAACTCGGACAAATGAAAACTCGGACAGTTGATTTATCTAATTATTATTAGTTATTTATCAAAACTCGGACAGTTGAAAACTCGGACAAATGATTTTTCAAATATTTTGTAATTTTTAACAAACTCGGACAGTTGAAAACTCGGACAAATGAACCTCACCCCAATGTAATAGTCATTAAATTCGTCAGCTGTAATTTGAGGATCTGACTTTTCACTTTTAAAAAATAAACCACTTTCTGACTTAACAACTTTCCATGCAGCCTTACATTTGTTTTGTGAACTATCAATAAATTCCTCATTATATTCAATCTTAGCAGTTTTAATTCTAGTTTTATATTTGTTTTTGTAAGTTGATAGACATTTTTTTAGGATGTCATTGTTTTGATAAGCTGGTATTTTAGTCAAATCCTTGAGGAGTAACAGAGTATCCTTCATTTTCTTAAGTGACTCATCAAACCACAGGTTATTTTTTGAACTAACTTTGTAGTCCTTTCTTACTCTCTTAGATAGTCTATGACAGTGATAGTTGTAACAATTCTGAATACAGTCAATGAAACATTTAAAAGCAACATTAACATCAGCAATCTGAAAAACCGGCTCCCAATTGATGACACTTAAACTATACAAAAACATATTCTTTCTTTTGTTAACAATCTAAAAGAAACTTCTTTGACTATATCAGGCACATATAAACTACTTGAAAATGCAAAATGTAAAGTAGGGTGTATTGATGGATTTGGAAAACATCAATTAATACATTACAGTACTAAAGTTAATAGGAATTTGTATTGACTCTTGCCTAGTACTATAATATATTCCACTGAAAGTAGGCCTATTTGACTTAACTGTGTTTTGTGTTTATTTGTGACTTTTCTATCAATACGAAAAAGGAGATAAGAGTACCGAAGCTTATTTCATCAAGTATGACTTCAAAATAATGATTATATAATTCCAAATGAGTAGCACTTCATCATGTTATGATTTTAGGGATTGCCCGTTTTAACCGAGCTTTTGAGTTATCTGACCTAGGTCCGGTCCCATAAGGTCAGTTAAGAGGGGTCTACTGTACCACAGACTTTTTGAACAGCATAAATCTAAAAGATATATTTTTAGTAATAACTTTAAACTTAACTTTATGACCTATGATTCTTACCTTTTGTATTGTTTTCTAGGCTTAGGCACAATGAAATGAAATTAGCCATGTTATTTGTTTTGTCGATAATTTCATACTACTAGTCCAGGTCCAGTAAATGGTGTAATAAAAGTATTCATCTCATACAGCAGATTTGTATGAACATTTGGATTTAGGTTCTACTAACCCCCTATTTCAAAATCTCCCCTGTCCCGGGGCTGCTTTTCTCCTTAGGGCCGGATGCCAAACTGACAATAATTATTATTATAAAAAATAAATATAAAGGTTTTTAAAAAGGACTTTAAAAAGTTTCTATGATCGTGCTAACAGACAAATGGGCCATTATCAGAACCTTCAGCCTTGATTGGCAAATTGTCCAAAAGATTCCCCCCCCAAAAAAAAAACCACACCAAATGATACCCTTCAACAGCCTTTAGCAAAACTGTTTTTTTGGCTTTTCTTTCCTCGAAAGGGGGGTGGTTGTGACACATAGCGGCACACTATATTTCTTATTGTGTCAGCGCTTCGCGTGGCAGGGCTGCATGTCGAACTCGTCAGCCCACCGCGAGCGAGCGAACGCTTTCCCCCGCCTACTTTTCCAATTCTCTTCCCACTTCTCCCGTCAACCTGAAAGGACTACCACTGAAAATTGGATCGTCTAAAAACCTTCATAAAATGGATGAGTGTAGTTTTTAAGTAAGCGTTATAAATCAAATTGAAATGACAGGCTAGTTAGCAAACCAAAGGTGGAGACCTGCAAGGGTCGCCCCGACATTGGTTATGTAGGAATTATTTAATTGCCGGTAACATGATTTTCCCATTAGGCTTCCACAGTTTATCTCAATAAGGTCATAGTTATTTCAGATTTAGGTAGTACAATCATAACAAAATTATCTCACACATACCGTAGTCATTTTCTAGCTCACAAGTTTTGGAAGTATGGTTTAAGTTAAATTAGTTGTATTAGGATAAATCAAAGCTGGCTATGCAAGCTTCCGGTCTGGGTAAAAGATCTCCGTCCTCTGGTCCCCAACACGTCTTTCATGTAAATCATTTGGTAGCAGATTCAGCACGCTTAAATTAGTCTTACATTTCCATATTACACAATCACACTCACCCCAACAACATCCCCCACATCCCATTATGAAACAGTAGCCCTAAACAGTGAACAATAATTACAAATATATATATATGAAATTGAACGGATGGTGTTTTTGGCCTAAGGACATCAAAATGAAACAGTAAATTGCCGTTTATAACCGTTTACAGACTAAGCCTCAAGATTCTTTTGACATTTTGTCACACTAAAATTTTAAGACAATATCAGACTTAAATCGGGTTAGGCTGTGGTATTAATGGTTATTTTTATAATTTCCAGGTCCCAAGTTTTGCTCTCAACTCCCATCCAGAGAAGCAGATCCTCCAACAGGAGTAGAACAGGCAGACTTTGACTCTCTCAGTAGACGACTTGAGACTCTTAATCCTGATCATAGACTCAAAACTATCCTTATTTCCATAAAAACACTTTGAACCATCTTACTTGAATTCCCATGTAATTATTAATTTTGTACAAGTAAAATTATCATTCCAAACTAGAGTTTACTCAATAATAATGCTTAAAATGTTAAGAAGCATATTTAGTTTGCATTTTGATCTTTGTAGCGGTTTTTCCAACGAGCGTCTCCTATTGCTACTAAAGCCCCTTTCAATGTTACTGTGCCACAATCTCGTGATCCCTTTTTATGTTGCTGTTTAGCTGGTCGATATATGGAACATTTTAAGATATAGGCTACTTACAGTTTAAAGTGTTCAAGTGAACAAACATTTTACATCTAAAAAATAATAACAGTTCTGTTGAACATTCAATAAGAGACTGCAACAATCTTAACATTCAGATAATGGAGGCACAGGGTGATTTTTATTTTAAAACGCAATTCAGGTTAATATAAATGTATAATGTGTCTCACAGGACTTTTAGTTTGGGTTGTGTAAAAAAAACCTGTATAATATTTAAAGGGTAAAAAAAATAACTTGATTTAGAGGGTGGGTCACATTAGTAAAACATAAACAGTGGATCTTGGCTATGTACACAAAAAATCTTCACTATACAAGAGAATAATTTACATTCCAGGTTAAACAATTGATACAGATGTCAGTCCTATCCCTGTCTACTACCACTTATAAGTCTTAACAAAGGGATGTGTTGATTCTGGATTTTTCTTTTGAAGAGTTAAATAGTCTTTGAGGTTAAAAATAAATTTAACATATGTATTTTTTATTTACAATTGTATTAACTTTATTTGGCTCTGCCTTTGTCTTATTATAAAAAATTTAAGTTTGTGAAATTTTGTTTTTATTTTGTTGTGTAATAAATGTATTTAATAACTTTTACTTGCAACTGTTGACACTATTCAATGTATTTCTATGTACAAGATATGAATAAAGTTGTTTTGAATTGGATACAGATTCTCGATTCTCGATAACACAGATTCTTGGACATTGGCATCGTTATCGACATTGGGTATTGGTAATCATTCGTCAAGGGTCTATACCAATACTCAACACATATGTGAAGTTCATGCGATTGAAAATTCTTGGTTTTGGTACAATCGCAGATGATGACAAAAAGATTTCCTTGACCGCAGCAGACAAAGATGATGTCTACATGGTCACGAAAGATGAACAAATTTTTTCCCATGACTGCGATTAGGACCATAATATTTCCGTGACCATAGGAGACAATGATGATGTTTATATGGGTGCGGGAGATAACAATTTTTCCACTGTGGAAGATGATTCGTATCTTCACGACCATGAGAGGAGTTCAGAATTTTACCTCGATCATGGAAAACGGTATTTCCGTGACAGATATAGATATTCAGGTTTTGCCAGTGTCGCGGGAGACAATGCTGATGTTTCTGTTATCTCAAGAGATATTCAGGATATTGCAGGGATCGCTAGAGCCAATGATGATCCCATGACCGCTGGATATGTTCAATATTGTGTCGCCATAATGGAAGACGGCTTGGTTTTATATTGATTAGTTAGAATTTGTCATTGCTGCTTTAATTTTTTACTCTCTTCAAAAAACACCTAATTACCCCAAAATTACTTTACACAATACAGAGGCTGGTGTTGTATGACAAACCCATTTAGAAAATTCGGTAAAATAAACAAAATTTGTAGGTATCGATATTGAGAATTGATTTTTCAGGTATCGGAATCGAGAATCAACAAATTTTTGTTTTGACACATAATTATCTAGTTTTACAAAAACACACAAGCCACACATTGGTTAGTAATAAAGGCGAACCAATGTGTGCTAATTGGAGATGTTAGATGAACTTTCAAACATTTTACAACTAATCGTTGGAGAGGAACATAACTCAAGTTTCTGTAGTCAAGTCAGTTTGGTCACAAACCTGATGAATCACTTCCAGATGAAGACAGTATTTGAGTCCCGCTCTACTTGGTCAAGCAGATGCCTAGTTTTTAGTCCTATCAGACAACACAGCTCATCCACTGAATGTAGACCAGTGAAGTGTGTTTGTAGAGGACCAGTTGGACATTCAGTAACAACCACAGGAAACTGTAAAACAATCAGGTTATATCAAATTATGAGAAATATGTTAATAGTGATAGCTGAAAACGGCAAGATGGCGGCTAGTGACGCAACACCTAATAATTGTGGCTCTTGTAGTATAAAGTTAAATACACGTAGTAAAGCGATAATAAACATTTAAAAGTGTTTTGGAAAGTGTCAAAAGTCTTTTCATATTAGTTGCTCTCAAATCTCTGAAATGGATTATAACAATTCCAAGTCAATTAATGACAGTTTCGTGTGGCTTTGCCCGGACTGTATCTCATGGTTTGACTCTGAGAAAACAATTTCTTCAGTACTTCATGACAATAAAATTGAAGACAACGAGAAACCTCTGCTGTGAATGTTTTATTTATATAAAAATACTAACTGATGAAATTTCTAATCTATCTGCTAACTATAAAACCATGTCTGAAAATGTGAATGCTTTGGGTTCTAAGCAAACCACAATCAAATCAATGCTACATACACATACTGATATTGTCGGTGACATAGTCCATTTAGGACAGCAAAATAAGGCTAAATCTCCAGTAAAACCATCAATAAATTCTACTCAGAAGTCTCAGGAGTCATTTAATGTAGCGAAGATGATTGAAAATGATAAACACAAGGAAACCCCTGACCTAGGCCTATTCTCTAGTCCTGGAACCTCTGAAAATAATTCAACTGTCATAGATTCACACCCTACCCAGGCTGAAGAGATACTTTTGCTAAATGAGGAAAATTTCCCAAACCTAGGACAATGGATGGAAAGTTCAGCGAAATAAGTACCGCCGAAAAGGACTAGGCCTTTCACATAGCACTAACTCCAATACTGCTAGAGTCTCTGATCGCAAAGGCTGTGGCTCCAAGCAAGATCGTGATTCAGACCAGGTGTCAAATTCTTTGTCTTCACACCAGAAGAAGTCTAAACCTCAAGAAGAGTGGTACAGTGAAAGGGAAACTTAACTCTAGATCCAGACCTAACCTAAACTCTGCCCCTGTAATAGTTGGAACTTGTGAGGATAAAACTCTATCAGGTAATAAAAAAAAAGCTTGGTTTCACTTGGGTAGGCTAAACAATAATACTTCTACAGAGACAGTGAAACAATTCGTGACTACAAAATTTACAGGCATCTCTCCTGTTGTAGAAAAACTAGAGTCAAAAGGACCTAACGCTAGCTTTAAGATAGGTGTAGCTTTTGATCGAAAGGATAAACTGTTCCAAAGTGCCTCCTGGCCAAAAAATGCTATACTAAAATGTTTGTTAATTCAGGAGAGCCCCAGCCAGCCTTATAACATAGGCCCTATAGACAGTATCTTATCACTGTAATATTGCAAATTATACTAGCAAAGATAGGCCCAGGTCTACCCTGTAGTGAGCTGACAGACCTATCAGCTGACAGATGTTTTAAATAGTTTTATTGAATTTTGGTTGCTAAGAAGAGAAAAATAAACAAAGAGACATTCTTTTAGGCTTTTCCAACAAAAGTGGTTCATTTTTATTTGCTCTAAAAAATTAATTGTTAATTACTTTTAAAAGTATGATAAATTAAACAATAATATTTAGTGGAAACCTCTAAACTTGTATTTATGGTATTTCTCCTACTTAAATGAGGTTCTTTTCACTAAAATAATAATGGATAGTTTTGCGCGAGGTTTCTCGTCATGACGAACATTTTAAGTATATGGTTTATGGGGGTGTGACTTGTAGTTTTCTGAAAAGTTCATGGGTACTTTGGGATTTAACCCTCCGAGTGTCACGCGTCATAAAAACGACGCACAACACACTTTGTGTAGGGTCACGCGTCGCTTTTAAGACGCACAAACATCGTTTACGGCGAAGGCTCTATGACTTACTGAATCGGATTGAACTGGATCGAGTTAGGTATCGTTCTTTCCGTAATATTCTAAGCTTTCTCCAGAGGTCTGTCTCTAAGCGCTATTCATTTTAGTTCCGAAAATATTGTAGCAGACAGCTGACGTGCGTGTATTTGTAAACAGCTAGGTTCCCCCGGACCGATGACTGATGTGTTTTATTACGTTTATCATTGTTTTAGTGTTAAAAATCAAAAGTAGTGATATACGTGGTGCATTATAAGAAGATTTAAGTGGTTTTGAAGTGCTGGTTGATGATCCTGAAGAAGTAGGTAGTGATATTGATGTAAATTATCAGCCAGATTCCTAGCTATGGTTAGGCTATGCATTCTTAGCTAAACGCTATGTACTGAAATCCGTTTTTCGCTCATAACTTATTTATTTGATAACTTACCTCGCTATATGATTATATATTTGTAATCCTCATTAAATTTAGAACAAAGTGGCTATTTTCAAATATTTATAGGCCTATAATTTATACAATTTCATTGAGCGCGAACTTATTTTTTTTTTTTAAATTTTCGAAATTATATTTTTTTTTACCTAAAAATTTTTTTTTTGAAAAAATGTTCCTTATGTTTTATATATAATATTGAAGCCCATGATTTTCCAAACAAAATGGTATATAGAACATTAGAATTAACATTGTTTTAAGCTTCTCAGATCCGTTTTAATAAAACCTTGCAAAGGGGCCAAAAATAGGTGGACATTAAGGCCTAAACTATGGACACTCGGAGGGTTATATATGGATTGCAAAAAATATAAACGTGCTGCACCCTGTGAGTAAACCTTATAAATTTGTAATGCTATTGAATATCATAGAACCAACTTATTTGGTCGAATCAGCTGACAAAATAATTTAATTCCTTTTAAATGTGAATACCCATAAGGTTAACATGGGAAACACCAGAGACACTGGGGCGGAGCCTGAAAGGAGATTTGAGATAACAATATGCCTATATGTTAATCGGGAAACTGAGCTATCAACACCCAACAGGAGTTTAACGTATATCACCCCAAATTTCAGCCCAATCCAACCAGTATTTTTTGCGTTTACTTGTCACAAACATCCATACATACATCCAAACTTTCTCATTTAAATATTAGTAGGATATACAAATTTGAACGAATGGTGCCAATCATTACTAATAAAAAGGTTAAATACCTGTAGTACTGTCAGTGATCCTGGAATTTAGGTCAGCGACCCAGGTTTCGAACCTAAAGGTTCATTTCCAATCATTACATTTTGGCCTCTGGGGACATCAAAATAAAAAATAAAAATCGGTCCCTGGCCTAGGTCTTACCATGCCACCTACGGTAATAGCTACTTCCCTTTAGGGAAATTCGCTAACAAGAAGCTGCAACAACTCTTGCTATGGTAAAATGATTTATAGTGGTAGTGGGGCTGTATTTCACCTAACACAAGAGAAGGACATTATGTATGTATTCAAAGGTCAAGTTTATCACAGAATTGAAAAAAGACTTAACAGTCGCTACGTATGGTCATAAGTTTATTTTTTTATTCAGAAGCTAGGTAGGTAATATGCGCTGTTCAATAAGAGAAAATTAAAATTGTCATCTAAATTTAATGCAAGAGTTATCTAAACTATTTAACAAATAGATCCATACTTTCAAGCTTTCAATACAGGATAAGACAGCACACAGGATACAGGACAGGTATTAATGTAATGTGGAAAAATTCCACTGGAATAATGTGAGAATGTGCGAATGCTGGGCATATACTCTGACAGACATCAAGATAAAGACTAGGGATGGACGAGATTGGAATTTTAGTTCGAGACGAGACGAGACGAGACGAGATTTTTTATTTCTCATAAAATTTTGAGACGAGATCGAGACGAGATTTCTCTTCTCATACACAACGGGAAATGCACGTTCGAAATTTTTACCTGATTTTGTAACATTGTTAGATGACTGTTTAAATACTAAAATAATGATAATAGGCAAGAATATTTACAATCTTTCATTAAATAACATCAGCATAACATTTTTTTATTAATCACGCCTAACTTATTAAAAATGCCTACGATTAGGAAACATGGTGATATCAGTTAGGATAGAGTTCAACTTATCCTAAAATAAAATAAATCATAAAATAAAAGCAATATTAATTTTTATAAAATAGTTACTTGTTTTGACTTTTTTTATAGTAATAAAACATTCCTCACACTGCTTACACTTAACAAAACTTCTCAAATGTTATTAAAGTAATATTATTAAAATAATGAAAGTAATATTTACATTAAAAGAATTAAAGTAATATTTACATTAAAAGAATTAATTTAAGAAGAACGCCTTCGAAAAGGAAACGCAACTACAACACGCTCCTGTATTGCGGGTATTGCATTGACTTTCTGCAGGCGTTTTAAATTTTTTTTTTTTTTTTTTTATTCTCGTCTCGATAAAAATCTCGGCCAAAAAGTAATCTCGTCTCGTGTAACGAGATTGAAAATTTCCCGAAATTTCGAGACTTGACCATCCCTAATAAAGACGTTTAAATTGACCAACTTCCAATGATGTTGCTGCTATATTCAAAGCAGATGCTGGCTGCCCAGTTGGTAAAGCACGGGTCACACTAGGCTTCGGCATCAGCGGCGAATTGAAAGAAGCCGCTACTGTCAGCTTGATGTGACCACAAAATTCGCAGCTGGCATCGCTAGCCGGCGAGTATTTGTCAGCGGCTGGCGAAGTTGGACATGTTCAACTTTTGGTAGCGAGGCAGCGGCGACTAGAAGTCACGTGACCACTCGCACTTGCTGACACCAGCGAGCAGCATAGTCTGACCACCTCTGCCAAGCGTGCCAGCGGTGACCAAAGGTAATATGTGTAGATATAAAGTCAATGGTAATATCCAGCGCTTGGTTTAACAAAAAAACACAAAAGCAACTGTCTCAATTTTTTAATTAGAGGCTTAACTTAATTAATTCTAGTAATACCTGGAATGTATTGACTGGTGACATTCGTAAAACATTTTGGTATGTTTCTGATTCTTTTTTTAGTGCGTTTAAAAACGTGGTATTTTTAAAAAGTATTTTTATTTGTAAATTATTTGTAACCAAGACCTGATCCACTAATGTCTCTTCTTCCGGTTAAGCATCTTTTAATAAAAT